TATCTCATGGATGTTAGGGAGAGAGGAGATATTCACCAGAAAAATCTTTCTTTTCTTGAAGATCATGCCATTTTTCTGCTTACCTATTAGTACTAGTTTTCTTAAAAAAAAAAAGACAAGATAGAAAAAATAAGTTCATTAATTACTTTGAAAGTACTGTTGAAGAGTCAACAGAAATTGCAGACGTTCTGGATTCTTCTCCTAGATTGTCTCGTGTGTGTGTGTGTGTGTGTGTGCACGCACGCGTGTGTGTGATGTTTGACTACCTGGCCTCATTTCTCTCGCCCTTGATCCTTATTATGGTCTCTGTGTATCTTTTACCATGAGCTTTAATACTGTGTGAGTACTCTGATCTGACTGTGCTCTTTCCCCAGGTGCTGGTCTTGGCTATCTCTGCTTTGAGTAGAGTCTCAGGACACAGCCCAGTTCATCCCTGGGAGTGAGGACTACATGGAGGGGAGGAGGAGAAGGTGCCCATAGGTTTCCTGCTGCCTGGAACTGCTCCTCCCCTCAGTGTCACCCACACCCAGACACATGAGTGCCATTTTGCACTCCAGGTCTGTGGAGGGGAGGAGAGGGCCTCGGGTGTCCAGTTTGAGAAGGAGATCATAACACAGGGGATTGGCCAGGGGGTTGAAAATCCCTGTTTCTGTACCTGAAGCTCTGAGGAGTCGCTGATGGTGCATCAGGCCCAGACATGGGCTCTGAATGCAGAGGCGGACAGGTCAGTCCTGGACCTGCCACTAAGAGGTTTGCTGTGTTTCTGTTTCCCCTCTTGCCACCTGGGGAACCATATAGCAATAGCAAACTTCATAAGGTCCTTGTGAAGTTCTAAAAGGAATAGACTTCAGACTAGATAATAATGATAAATGTTATGTAATAATTTCATCAATACCTATACATTTTGGTTTTACCATTAACTCGACTGTAATCTCTCTTTCTCTCTCTGATTCCTGACCCTTTTCTTCCAGTTGGGGACAGCAGTGTTTACATTCACCTTCCTTGCCCAAACCAACCTGCTAAAACAATCCAGTTCTCTCTCTCCTTTCATCTCATGAATCTGTATCTTATTATGTGGATCTCTTACTGTATTGTAGCTCTACTTCCATGCTGCTCTTTTCTTCTTTGTCAATTCTGGCCTGATCTCTTAAGAAGTGGATTACAAACATTTCTGCCTTTCTCTTCAAGCTGAATTTCATATTTTCTGAATCATGAAGCTGCCCTCCATGTGACCTAGAAAGCCCTTTGATGATCCATATTTAGCTGTATCCATCACTCAACAGATGTCTGGGTAAAGGCCTCCATGAGCTCCCTCTACATCCTGTGGTTTCAAGTTCCTGAGTTGTTAGTTAAAAAGCTTTCATCCCCCTGCCCCCCACCCATTCCAGGGTAGAAGGACAGAGTCTCACTTTAGCTATTCATTAATTTGCTCATTTTACAAATACTTACCTATAACCTACTACGTTTTTGAAATTGGGTTAGTTGTTATCCCCTTTGTTTCCAAATTGCCTTTTCCTAACTTGACCCATTTATAATAGCTATATTTTCTGATTATTCCTCTAGCATCTACAATTAGCATTCAATTAAATGGTCTCTTCTATCTGTAGTGTTCCTGATCCCTGGGAGACTTAGAGGCTTAATGGCAAACTGATGCCTTGATATAATGCACCTGCTGTTGCAAATGTAGATTTCAGGATAACACAGGTCCATGGTGGCTTTATTTAAGGACGTTTAGTTAGCAGATGAGGCTTCCTGACTCTGTTTGACATCCTGCACTATGGACATGAAAAATGAAGCAGTAGCAAGAGTAGAATGCCCTGCTAACTAAGTAGGTAATTTCCAGAACCCTTTGGGTTTTTTTGTCTCTGGTTTCCCACAAGGATGCCAGTGAGGAAAAGTGCTTCTTTGCCTTTGGAGCACTCTGGATCTTCCCATTAGATAGCATCTCTTGGCATCTTAAAGGCAGCCTGCCATTCTGTTCTCCTGTGGAACACAGATGGCCCGGCCCACGCCTATCACTAATGAGGATCACATGCAGAGCCTCCTTGCTGGAGGCTCCCTTCAAAAACTCCAGCACTCCTTCCCCTGCTGGCTGGTCACTGTTGACCATGACATTTAAGCCTGAGAAGACTGCTTGCTGTTCTCCCACTCACTGCTCTGAACAAAACATGTATTAGGTAGGTGCTGGGAAATGGGTCCCATCCCAGTGGAACTTGAAGACATTGAGGATTAAGGGATGGTTGATAACTGAACAGCAAGGGTGAGGTTTTGGGATCCAGCTGTCCATGAAGGCTGTTGAGTTTCAATATGAACAAGCCCTGGAAGTTCTTCAGAAGAACATAATTAGATGGCTATGTAGAGGTTGAACAGATAGGATATCAGTTGATTAGTGTCATGTAACTTCACTCAAGACACTAGTAGGGTTGGAAACAGATAAGAATGTTAACAGCATTAAAATATAGTGGAAAAAGTGTAGAGTTTGATACAAAGTAGACGTCTGCCAAGTCGGGGTCTACTACTTGCTATCTGTTGGACAAAGCTCTTCAACTTTCTATGCAGTAATTCCCTTTTGTGTGAAATAGGTACAATGCACATCTCATAGGCTGTTCGGAAGATTAAAAGGAAGAGTACATAAAAAGATCTTGACATAGTAACTGGCACCTAGTAAGCAGTGAATGGGAATTACCTTTCTTATCTCTTTTTCCTGTTTTCTTTCTATAACAGAATATTGAAATATGCATTCCAATATGGTAGAACATCAGTTGAGCTAAAAGCAGTGACTCCATATGAAAGTCTGTATGATTCTGTTCTCCAGTTTTATTTAAAAATTGATTGATATTTGAGGTATGGGATAGTTTATTTCCTTGCTATTTCAAGTCTGAGGTATGCCTTATATCTGTGACTAGAAGATTTTCACACTGCTAATATGGACCCCAATAGAGATGGAAACTCTCTTTTGGTCCTAATACTAGTAGTAACCCATTCCTTCAACTCTTAAGAGCTGATGAGGAGAGATCATACCATCACCAGCTGCCCTGAGGATATGTGAGTCAGGTCAGTAATGGATGTGTAAGTCTGGTCTAATTGGTCACTGTACACTGATCTAGAAATTTTTCTTGGAGATATTTATCATTCTTTCAGAAAATAAGGACTAACAAGAAATGCAGCTAAAAAGGAATGACTACATCTATTGATTTAACATTGATGATTACAAAAACAGCTTCCACGGCTTTTTGGGCAAGGGAAATGAACTATTGCTTATCTCTGCTCAACCAGGTCAAAGCCTTTCCTGTAAGAGCAAGTGGATGTTCATCAGCACCCAACACACACACCAGCAGCCCTTTCCATATCAGGCCGGCTCCAAGAGTAGCAATTACTTGAATGAAATTCCACCTCTCTACAACTGTATTCTTTAGCTGTTGTTCCATTCCCTTGGCCACACAGATGAAGTCTGAACCTGCTAGCAGTCATGTCTCCCCTTTACTTTGTCCCTCATTAACCCCCTTTCCAGTCCCTTCCCCACTCAGGGAACAGAGTCCAGATCCTTGATTCTTGCTTGAAGGTGTGTAGAGAACAATTAAAACAGCCACAGAGAATAAATAAGAAAGAGCTGGTTATGGTGGCACATGCCTGTCATCCCAGCTACTTGAGAGGCTGAAACAGGAGGATCATTTGAGCCCAACAGTTCAAGGTCAACCTGGGTAACATAGTGAGACCTTCTCAAAAAACAAGCAAAAGACAAAACAAACAACTGCAAAGTGTCTGCAAGGGGAGACTTCTTGTCCTAGAAAAGTACTACCTGGGTTATTATTGGAGAGAGTGGTTACCTGCAGATTCCTATCTCCACTGAGAACAGTAATGGTGGGCTGAAGGTGATTTTTCCTAATCTTTAGATACGGACAGAAGACTCCGTGGTTCTATCCTGGAAGTTCTCCAAGTTTCTCTATGTATCTCCTAATAGGGACCTCGTACTTGACTATAGAACTTTTTTCACAGAGCACTTCATACTAGTTTTTGTTTTGTTTCGTTTTTTGGTACCAGGGATCGAACTCGGGACCTTGCGCTTGCAAGGCAGGTGGCATCACCACTGAGCTAAATCCCCGACTCTCATACTAGTTTTTGTAAGACACCTTCAAGGACATTATGGCTTCAGATACACTACGAGGGCTTAGATTAGATATATGGAATAATTTTCTGATTGACTAGCATTGGATCAGGGAACTGGGAGCTGAGGGCTATGGTGCTTGCTTCCTTGGAGGGTTAGTAGGCTCTTCCTCCTTCCCTCTGCCCCTGCCCTCCTCCTGCCTTTACTGTTGGCATTAGACACCCACCTGGCTGACAGCGTTGAGGTGTCAGCCTGTGGCATAGGGAGTCTGAGAGTCTGGATCCTTCCATCCCCGGAATTCAACTTTTGTGGATCCTGACGGTGGCAGTGGTGCATGGAAGGCACAGCCTGCCTGGGACAGGAGGTAACTGAGAGTTTTGGTCAAGAGAAGAGGGTGCTCGAGATGGGAAAAGTTGATGCAATTATTTTTGGCAGGAGTTGGAACCAAAGCAGCAGGAGAGAGTAAGTTTTAAGACTCTCTGGCAAAGCAACTTCCTAATCTGTCACTGAGTATGTGTAAAAAAGTGATTAGTGGGTCTCTATATTTATCATGATTACTCACAAATATGTAATTTACATAATATATACAGCACATTAAGTACTATGTCACCTTATATAATGTGCATATGTATAATGTATATGCATGTTATGTAACGCCAGTCTGGAGGCTCTTCCAGGTTCTGCCAAGTATTTCCTAATTTATTTGGCAATTTTAACGTATCTTTTCCATCTGTGAAAAGAACGCTCTTGAGAGAAGCTGGTCTCTGACCTGAATGTAATCATCATACCAAGTCTTTCTCCACTCTCAACGCACTGGGGAAACCCCAGAAAGACTAAACCATATGAGACGAAACTCCTAGCCCATCAGCCCAGGGACAACACAGTGTACTGACGATTTCCTGTTTCACTGTTTTATTGCTAGTGGGGTGGGAGCATGAAGGCAGGTGAGAACATGTTTATAGCACAGTTAGAATTAGAATTAAGACAAGAAATAAGGGACTAGGCTCTCCCCATACTACCTGTGTGGCTTTGAGAAGTCACTCAACCTCATTCGGCCTCCTTCTCCTCGTTATGATCAAGATAATAATACCTTCTTTGCTAACCTCAGTTATTGCAGTGGGGAATCACTCTGATGAGGCACTACACAGTAAGAAACCGCAGTCATGGTGTTTAAAAGATGATTTCCAAAGTAAGATTAAACAACACCACAAGATTTACGAAGGTTATCGAATCAGCAGGCGATTCCACTGAAGTTTCTTCCATTTTGTTCCTCTCAGGAGAGCCCAGGTATGTCTCTCAAGCAATATTCACTTTCTGCTCACTGGGGTGGAGTGGATGGAAGCCTATTTTGGCATGACCCCTGCATGTCTGAGAATAATTTCATCTGTTGATAGTGTCATGTCTCAACAGCCTCAATCTTGGGGGATCAGGACTGAAACCTACACAGAAGCTCCTGTAAATGTCATAGAATCAGGGACCCCAAACCTGAACCTGCCTCAGTTTCAGAATCAAATGGCTTCGGAGACAGTACCTATCACCATTCTGGAGCCATTCAAGGATCCCATCAGGAAGGCTATGCTTCAGGGAGCCTGGTTTCGATTTTCTCGGGATTCAGCACTGTTGGATTGAGTAGGATGGTCCCAGATCTCAGTACCAGATGGTCCTAGATGGCTGGTCCCTTCAGAGGTAGACCCAGTTTGTACACACCATATTAATACTGCCTTCCTTGTCCAGAGCTCCTGGCTCAGTCCAAGGAGACTAGAGGCAGCTCAATGGAGTGGTGTCAGGTGGGCTCAGGACTTGAGAAATTTGAACGAGGGATGGGGCCTCAAGTGAAAATGTTGCTTTGTATCAATGAAGCTCTGCACAGAATTGCCCTTGGGAAAGAAAGGGATGCTGGCACCGTCTTAATGAAGCCCACCATGCACTGTGAGACCCTCTGTGCTGGCTGAAAGCATCCTTCGAAGGGCACTCAGTCTTCCTGGTGACTCTCTACTGAGGTCACTGCTGTAGCCAGGGTTTTTCCAAACCAAGAGACTCTGGTGATCAACAGGAGGGTCATGTGGAGAGTTCAGTTTGATCATCTGTCCGATGCCTTCAGCTCAGACCAACTTCTCTCCAATTCAGGCTGGGAAGCCTTCCCAGGGCCCCATTTGCTTGTGTGAATTTGCCCTTTCCACACACTTGCTGCACGTTTTTTCCTCCTTGGAAACCTGGATCCAAGTAGTATCCCTCCTCCGTGGCCCGAAATGAGCCTATTCCCAGATGTGTGGGTCCTTTCCTCCCATAACTACCTTTTTAGTGGCGCCTGCTTTTGACCCACATTAGCCAAGCCTCTTCACTTTGTTTTTTTGGGGTGGGTGGGTACCGGGGATGTACTCGGGTCCTTGAGCTTGCGCAGCAGGCGGCGAAACCACGGAGCTAAATCCCCGGCCCAGGCCTCTTCACTTTTCTGAGACTCAGTTTCTTCGTTTGACAAACAGGAGAATAATTCGCCAGGCAGCTCTCTCGTGGTTGTTCTGAGGACCCATAATAGATGTTTTCTTCATGACGAGCAGCTCCTGTCACTCCCCTTGCACCTTGTGATCAGCACGGGGAAGCGTGCCTTGACAACGAAATGGCGAAGTGGGAAAGAGCCTTCCTTTTCTTGTCCACTTTCTGTTCCCATGTTACCTATGCTTATTTCCAATCAGAAAAAGTCCGTCAGTAAATAAATATTTATGTATTATATATAAATATATATCCCACATATATACACACACGCAAGACCATCGAAGGTCCTTCCGACTGGGAGGGGCCAAGAGCACAGGGGACCCCTGGTGGACTGTTTTCCGGGGTCCCCAACAAGTGCTTGCCTCCCACCGTCTCTGCCTTCGGGGACAGACGGCCACCAGGGCTTGCAACAGGATAAACGTTTGGACCTGGGGGCGGGAGGCAAAAAGAAGCTGGGTAGCCCCCCCCCCCCCTTTTATACACTGTTATGACACCGATTTGAAAAATAAAGCCCAGTTTCTCCGCTTTCCCTCCCAGGTGTTCACAGAACTAAGAAAATAAATACCACATCTGAGGTGTGCCGGGCAGGCAGCTCTGGGGGCTCTTGGAGCCGTCGCTAAACAAACACGCAGCCACCGGGAGAGGGCCCGGGAAATGAACAAGTGCCCACTGACAGCGCAGAGAACCGGGAATGGAAACAGCTCGCGGCAGCCTTCCTGCCGCCTCAGCAAATTCGGGGAGAAGTCCTTGCTCGAAGGGCAACCAGGAAGCCATCTTGTGCTTTCTGAGCCCCGCCAGGGATTCTGCTCCCAGGGCTGCAGGCTGCTGTCTCTGTACAAAAGGATTTCTGCGCAGATTCTCTGGAATGGAGCTCTGGGCCTTGACCACATCCGAGCTCACTGTGGGCAGCCTGCTCCTCACGGGCGTCGCTGAGGAAACTTGCAGGGCTGGTGAAAAGAAGGGGAGATTTCTCCTGCAGTCTCTGCCAGTCCTGCTCAGGGCCTCCGGGAATGTGGGGGTTGCTTCGGCCCTAAGCGTATCTGAAATGTTCTGTGGGACTGGTTCTGTCAGGGGTGTTTCCCTTATTTCCAAATACATGTCGAGGTGAAGTTTCCTTCCAGCAGGGCGGCTTTGCTGTGTGTGTGTGTGTGTGTGTGTGTGTGTGTGTGTGTGTGCATGTGTGCACGTCTGTGTGTGCATGTGTGCACGTCTGTGTGAATGTAGTTACAGTTTCTTGTTTTCTCTCTTGGTTTGGCTGGTGTTTGACACACAGTCTAGTCTTTTGAACGGCTTTTCCTCCTCAGTGAAAAAAAGCTGCTCTTCTGGGGAGGCCCCATCATCATGGGCGCTTGGTTCTTGTGAGTAATTTTAATCTAAAAAGCAAAGATGCAGAAATGAGTTAGTGGCAATGCAAACGCCACAGTCTGGAGGACAGGAGTTGCACAGAGAGAAAAGAAGGCCTGGCTGGAAGGAGCCCCATGCAGAAGGACAACTGTCCTTGAATGGCTTCAAAATTGGCAACTGGACCCGGCCTGGGCCTGGAGTTTGGCACTGCTGGAAGTGAGGGGCGGAAACACTGCGGAGAGACAGGTGGGAGCTTCCCACAGGGTGAGCGGCTCCCACCTGTCTCGTGTCCTTGCTATTCATAGACGGTCAGAATGCCACAGCCAGAGGAGACCTCGGGACTTTCTCATTCAACCCCTCGGTAGGCTGGAGGAGGAATGGGAGCCCGAGGCTCCGTGGGATGTAGGTGGCCGGAGTTCACTCCCGGAGGGCAGAGCAGAGCAGCCCGAGTCCCAGCCTCCCTCCGGCCCAGGCGGTGGACAGACGTCAGCCAGCCGAGCTGGAGGTTTCAATGAGACTCTGCCCAAGCAGCAGCATGTGGTTCCCAAGTGTGCCTCGTAAGGTGCTTCCTCTTTTCTTATCCTCCAGGGAAAACCTTTCTTTCTTTCTTTTCATTTACATGTTTTATTTGGAACTGTGTACACCAGTACAGCGAAACTAAACTTTAGAGGCAATGGATGTCATTAGTTTAGCTATCATCAGTTTATTATAAAAGAGACATGGAAATTACTTGCAGGATGAAAGATTGCAGAACTTCAGTGGAATGGGCAGCATTGTGTGATGCTGATGCAACAGTGGTTTACTTCACTCTATATGTTTTCCAAGAATGTCATCATCTCTAAATAAGAAATAATCCTTGTCATCTAGAACTACTTTGGTGCCTCCAGAGTTTGGAAGAAGGGGAGGGGATTTAGCTCAGTGGTTTTGCCGCCTGCTGTGCAAGCGCAAGGACCCGAGTTCGATCTCTGGTACCAAAAAAAAAAAAAAAAGACAGTCTGGAAGAAGAACTTTATCTCCAACTTTCACACTCACTGGTTGAATCTCTCTGCCCTTTCCCTTAGAGCTGGATCCCACAGCTATCACAGTTGCTTGCAGTACTTTGCCTTGAGATTTTTCTGGAAGCATAATCCCTCGTTTGGTGACAGTTTCGGCTGCGCTTCTTTCAACCAATACTCGGCCCTAAATGCCTGTCCTGCCATGGCTCCTGCCCTATGCTCAGACTCCGCTCTCTGACTGCAAAGAGTAGAAAACCATTTTTATTTTATTTTGGTACTGGGGATCAAACTCGGGACCTTTCGCTTGCAAGGCAGGTGCTGGAACCACTGAGCTAAATCCCCAGCCCCTGAAAACCATTTTTAAAAATTTAGGGTTTAAAAATGTTTTCTCCTCTAAAGTTTGAGTCAGTTCCTTGAGAAAGACACTGATTCTGTTTTGCTGTCCTTCCCAACACTGTCCTCAGAATGTGGTCTCAAAATAACTGCCACCTCAGTAACCTGTGTTATCAGTGCATCAACAACATTGATCACATATGACACACATTCACAGTAGGGCAGATCATACAGGAACAGGAAGCCCTTAAGATTCAAAGGCCTAGGACTGGGTTGCCAAAGACCTGGGTGTGGGTCCCAGCACTTCTACTTCTTTACTGTGAAACTTTGGATGAATCATTTAATCTTCAGAGCCAGTGCTTGCTGAACTGTAAGTGAGGATAATAACATTTGTCATATTTTTATTTTCCCACAAAGATCATAGGCTCAACTGCCAGGGAGAGCCCATTGTAAACTACACAATGGAAAGTAACAGTTAGTTAAAGACTCATTGCCTTTTACTGGAGGAGAAGAAACAGAATCTATGAGCCCATAAATCTATGAACCCAATCTTGTGGTGTTTACCACATTATTGGAAATGTGTGATCACAGAAAACAGAAAAAGTTTTGATGAGAGAGACAGTGCATCAAGTTTAAATAATGTAGGATAAACCAGGTGATATCAAAAAGAAGTTAGGTAAGGAGTGAGAAGAGTCTGGTGGGAGCAATTAGAGAAGAATTTTAAGATTTGAAAGGAAGGAAGGAAAGAAGGGTCTTCTAGCATCAAGAAAAAAACAGGCTCCATGAGCAGGAAATGCAGGCCATGCATCAGCTGCCACCCTGTTCCCAGAACTGAGCCTGGAAGGTGCCGAAAATCCCTGTCATCTGTGAGTGCTGAACTGCACCACTGAGAAATGCCATGGGGGCTCCCAGCCCTTGCCTCACTCCCACTGACTCTGGAACAAACACAGCACACACAATAGGACGAACAACACAAAGTGGGGCTTGATGGATTCTTGGTTTGCTCCTCTGGTGACAACCATGAAATAGACGCACTCCTGTGTGACATCTCCAGGCTGATGGAAGCCAACCTAAGGGTCATTCGGCTCCTGTCACCAGGCTATAGAATTGTCCATGGTGTCTTGTTCCTTCCTTTTTTGCTTGATGCTAGAAGACCCTGGCTTCTCCTTTCTCCCTGTGGCTGCGCAGTGTACTGGCTTGTTAGCACCTCCAAGGCAAAGAGGAGGAAGTGAAACTCAAGTTCCTCCCACTTGGGTTTTCAGCATTTTTGACAAAGGTCTTAATAGGGCAAGACTTTGGAACTTTTGGGTAGCATGATATTTTTGGGTCATATTTGTGGATTCTATTACTATAGATGAAAGAGAAGTATGAGGTCATATCCTCATTTTGAATCAAAGAGAGGTCAGTCCCTTAGCCCGGTTTTAGAAGGGTTAGTGTGTGAAACAGTGAGATTCCACTGTAGGAGGTGGTTTGAGGTAGTTAAAGTCACCCTTTTCCCCCATCAGAAAAAGAGCATCCTACATTTCTGGAGTTAAAATCAAAACTTCTCTGGTCATTGAACAAGTTAGAAAACTAAAGTCTCTTTGATTTTCTTGGGGGCCATTCATCAGTCACAGCACCAAACCCTGAGCACCGAAGTCCCGTGGCGTGGTTTTCTGCTCCACTACTGAGAACTGACCGAGCAGACCCTTGTGATAGGTAAACATTAAACAACAACTACCACCACCACCACCACATCCTATACTTTCCCCTTTGGGATGGAGTAAAAACTTAAACTTCACTAGTGTTGGACACTGATTTTGTTTAGGAGTTTATTTTCTGCAAATCAACACTTTTTTTTTATTACTTTATAATTTTTTTTTCCGGTCCTGGGGATTGAACTCAGGACCTTGTGCTTGCAAGGCAGCCGCGTTGCCACTGAGCTAAATCCCCAGCTTTAAAAAAATTATTATTACTTTAACAGAAGTAATAACCAAAGGACCCTCTTCCTGAACATTGCCACATGGGGGTGTGTGTGTGATTCCAATCACATATAGTAAAATGGCCAATAACCCTAAGTGCAGACTCTTCCCGAATCCTGGGGAAGCATGTGAGGTCTGGCCTAATTTTAGCTGGAGATAAGTAGAAAGGCACAAACCTAAAAGGTCTGAAATAGCTTCTAACCCTTTAAAAAGTTGCTGATTGTGAGCTGGGTGTGGTGGTGCACACCTGTGATTACACTGGGGAGGCTGAGGCAGGAGGACTGCAGCGAGTTCAAGTCCAGCTTAGGCTACATAGTTCAGAGGCAGCCCAAACTACATAGTGAGACCCATCTCGAAAAACCAAAAACCACAAGAAAAACGAACAAATAAAAAGTTCCTGATGGAAGCGAGCCTAGGGGAGGAGGGAGGGTTTGCACTGTCTTTTGGGCCTCGACTACTTCTGGCTTCTCCAAGGATTCAGTGTGCCCTGCTTTATGAAAGTGTTTTCTGACATCAGAGACCTTCAAACACAGCCAGACAGACCTCAAAAGGGTCGGAGACGAGGGAGATTTCCTGATATGGCAGCAAGTTCATCGAGATCAGCGGTTCGAAAAGGTGGCCCCTGTATCAAGAGCACCTGTGTATCCCGGGAGCTCATTAGAGATGCAGCCTTGGGTACCTGCACCTACTGGATCACATCCTCTGGCATTCGGCGGAGTCACACGGGCAGTTTAGCCATTTACTGAGATCTTTTCAAAAGTAAAGGGCTAAGGGTGTAATTCAATCCCAGTGCCACCAAAAACTGAAACCAAACCAAACCAAACCAAGCCCTCAGGTTATTCTGGTGCGTACTTCATTCTGGGACACACTCAACTCCCTAAGTTAGAAATTCTACTGTCATTCCACTCTGGGACAAGAATCTTAGTTTTGAGGCTCAAATTATGCCACCTCACTGTGATAGTGAAGCACAGGAGGTCATCTTACAGTGCTGCAAGCAGAAGACAAGTTAAAAAAAAATATATATATATACAGTACATGTATTTTTATGCTTGAATTTATGCTCATTTTTAAGAATATATAAATATATGGAGAAAGTTTAAAAATCACACAGAGCTAATAACTTTCTGGTATATTGTTTTTGGTTTGTATTTGTGTGTATATATATATATATATATTTTTTTTTTGTACCAGGGGTCAAACTCGGTACCTTGTGCTTGTGAGGCAGGCAGTGGGGCCAGTGAGCTAAATCCCCAGCCCCGTTTATATGTTTTTATCAAAATTGAAATCATCCTTTTTTTTTGAGACAAGGTCTTGCTGTGTAGCCCAGGCTGGCCTGGAACTCGTGGTGACTCTCCTGCCTCAGCTTCCTGAGTGCTGGGTTACAGGTGCTTGCCACCATGCCTGGCTGAAATCAGCTTCTAAATAAGACTCACAGATTAAGAAACTGATAGATTATCTGTCTGTCTATCTATCTATCTATCTATCTATCTATCTATCTATCTATCTATCTATCTTTATTGAAGTGCTAGGGATTGAACCCCAGGGTCTTATGCAAGTGCTCTACCACTGAGTTATACCCTTAGCCTTTAAATATTGATTAAAAATGATTCTTGGAAGGCCAGGGATTTAGCTCAGCGGTTTCGCCGCCTGCTGTGCAAGTGCAAGGACCTGAGTTCGATCCCTGGTACCAAAAAACCCCCAAAACCAGAAAAATAAAAATGATTCTCGGGCCAGGAATTT